CAATTAAGAACATCTGCAGACAAGAAGACCATATTAAAGACTTTTAAACTTCAAAAGACGCAACTATGCTTTACTGGAGCTTAGACAAAAAAAGAACCTTCATACTAAGTTGAGAGAATTAAATTGCTATTCGAATTGGATGAACTCGAAAAAAATGTTGTTGATGAACAATAAAGAATGGAAAATTATTTTTATTTTCCTAAGAACTTGTAACGGCTCCTTTTTGAAAAAGTAAAAGGAATAACTGAGCTCTTTTTCACAGCATTGCTGTAACCAACATAAAACGAGTCCTCTGGTTAGTCAATAGACGAGCCAATGATAGCCTTGCCTTGTTTCCACTTTGACGGACAATTTAGAAACTCTGTCTTTGTCTCTTCCCCTCTCTCTCTCTCTCTCTGTATCTTTCTCTTTTTCTCTCCCTCCTTCTCTCTCCCCCTGCCCCCCTCTCTCTCTCTCTCTCTCTTATGCTGTTACAGGTATACAAATATTATTATTACGTCAGTTACTTATAGACACTATAAATAGTAAAACTGTAACTCAGCATTTCACAAAGGTCTATGTCACAGTTTGATCTTGGAGAAGTCTCTACAAGATAAAATAAATCACTAAAATCTTATGTCCAAGACAAACTTCAGACTTGTAATAACGGCTTTAGCATAGATCGTGTTCGGAAGTCTTTAGAATCACCTCACCTATTCAGAAATTTACACAGTATTTCAAAGAGCACCCAAATATCTCCTGATCAAAACTAGCGATGATGTTCATACTCAAGTCTCTGTAGACAGATTAAGACGATTTGTAGAGATAGAAAAACGTAGAGTAGAAAAACCGAGAGAAGAAATGCTAGTTAAAACGCATGATGATTTGCTTCAGAAAGTAAATAGCAAGACAAAATTTTCTCAACATAACTGTATAATCGTCTTCAGGTTGAACAGTTTCTTGGAAGAAACATAAAGATTATATCATTATTTTTATTATTAGCATGCTCCGCTCTTGGGGAAAATTCTGTAACGGCTCATTTTAAGAAAACGAGTCCTCTGATTGGACAATAGACAAGCCAATGAGAGCTCTGCCTTTTTTCACTTTGGCGAACAATTTAGAAACTCTCTCTTTTTTTGACTACTGACCCCGGAACAGTAAAAATGTACCAAGCTGCTTTCTGACTAACAGCAACAACGCAGAAAAGTCATGTATGTAGCATTTGAATAAATATCTCTACTTATTAGATAAATATATTTAATTGTAGTGAGATGCAAATTAGTATAATTTGCATATGAGCAGGTAGCTCATATGATAAAGAGACACCAACGAGAACAGAGGTCGAACGCTTACTTAGCAAGATACACGACACAACAATGGCGTCGCCGATAGGATATTCTTTGGTCCTTGAAGACCCAGAATACGTAGATACGTGGATTCGTTGCTTTGCTGCTAATGCAAGATGTAAAAAGTTGAAAGACAACAAAAACAGAGGAGGGGAAAATGAAATCACCGACTTGTTTATGGCTACCGCTGGTTGTGAAGCGATTATGAAGGTTGCTACAATGGTTTACCCACGAGAACTAGAAGAAATGACTTTCGAAGAAATAAGTCAGGTTATTAAGGGAAACATGAGGCCAAAGAAAAGACTGGTGATTGCAGAAAGGACCAAGTTTATGGCAATGAAGTAGGAAGTGGGTGAACCGATAGTAAAATATTTACACCGGTTAAGAAGTGCGAGTAAATACTGTGAATTCGAAAAACTAGGAACAGGAGAGCAGACAACGGAAGAAGAATTAATCCAACTAAGATTAATTGAAGGTATGCATAATTCAGCACATAGATATAAGTTAATGGAACAGTTACAACTTACAGACGTGCCTTTGAATATGTGTATAGAATTTATACAACAGCAGGAATTAATACATACCTACAACCAAAATAAAAATAAATCCTACGGAGAAATAATGGCTGAAACATATACGGTACAAACAAAAATAAAAAATTGTGCGTACTGTGGAAAAATTCATGAAATGAAAAAAGAAAAATGCCCAGCTTTTGGAAAAACATGTTCAAAGTGTTTAAAAAAAAATCACTTCAAAGAAGTATGTAAAACGAAAAATGTGGAAAGAGTAGAGGATGAAAATAGACAGATTTTTAATGTAAAAAGGATAATATACAAAATACTGGATCTAAGAACGGAGATACAAAAATAAAAGTGAAAATCAACGACTGTATTGTCGAAATGCAAATCGACACAGGTAGTGACGTCACGATAGTACCCAGAAATTTGTGGGAAAAAATGGGAAAACTGTACAATTACGTCAGTTTGATGGCTCGATTATAGCAATTATGGGTTACTTTGAAGGTTCAATAGAACTAAAAGAAAAATATGAAATAGTACCCATTATAGTTACAAATTGCCGAAAAACGCATGGACTACTGGGGAATGACGTGTTAAAAATAAATTCAACGAAGTTGATTAATGAGATAGAAATAGAAAAAACAGGAAAATTAAAAAATCATGAAGCTAGCCTGAAATTAAAAGAAGATGTTTCTCCCTCCTACTACGAAGAGAGAAAAATACCAGTGCATGTATTACCGTTGGTAATAGCTAAATTGCGAAAGCTAATAAAGGAAGACTTATTAGAACCTGCCCCTCCAGGAGGAAGTAAATGGGCATCACCCATTGTTGTATTGAAAAAAAAAATGGTGACCTGAGAATTTGTGGAGATTATAAAATAGGGGTGAACCATAAAGTTTGTGCTGACTCGTACCCTATTCCGAATGTGGAAGTAGCTTTACATAAACTTGCTGGAATGAAAGTATTTTCGAAGATAGACCTAAAATCAGCTTACCACCAAATACCGATAAATGAAAATTTTAAAGAAGTGACGACCATAAACACACCTATAGGCCTGTTAAGGTGGAAAAGAATGCTGTATGGCATAAAAACGGCAAGTGCAATTTTTCAAAAAGCTATTGAAAAAGTAATAGGAAATGTTGAAAATACCATCTGTTATCAAGACGATATATGTGTTGGAGATTTAAATGAAGATGATTTAAAGAAAAAAACTGAAAATATACTGAACCGGCTAAGAGACGCTGGTATGACAATAAATACAAAAAAGTGTGTAACCAACAGTAATGAAATATCATTTTTGGGTTACTCAATATCAAAGGAAAGGATCGCTCCAGATAAAGTACTAATAGAGAAAATTCTAAAAGTTGCAAAAAATAAAAAAGAGTTGGAGTCCTTCTTAGGTTTGGTAAATTTTTATAGAAAATATGTACCAAAATATAATGAGTTGGCAGAACCATTTGCTAAGTTAAGAAAAAAAAATGTGGAATTCATTTGGTTAGAACACCAACAGAAAGCCTTTGAAAACTTAAAACAGATTCTGGCAAAAAAGCCAATAGTACAAATTTTTGACCCTAAGAAGGACATAACTCTAACTACTGACGCTAGTGAGCAGTCCATATCTGGTATTTTGTCACAAGATGGGCATCCCATAATGTACTTATCGAGGAGATTAACAACAACTGAACACAATTATTCGAATATAGAAAGGGAGGCACTAGCCATAGTGTGGACAATGGATAGAGCAAGACAGTTTTTGATGGGAAAAAAATTCTTGTTGAAAAGTGATCACAGACCACTGGAATTTATTTTCAACCCAAGAAAAGAGCTACCGAAAGTTACAACGTCCAGAATATTACGTTGGGCGATTAGACTGATGGCGTTCGACATTGAATATGTTAAAGGGAATACGATACCGCACGTTGATGCCTTATCTAGATTGAGGTTTTATAGAGAGGAGAAGGACAAAAACGACGAGGAATTTGAAGACACATTCTTGCACCTTGCAGAAACCGATGTAATATCTGTAGATAAAATGGCTACTGAAACTACAATGACCCAGTGTTAAATAGAATAATGTCGAGCATAAAACAGAATCGCTGGGGAAATTGTTCAATGGCTGAAAGACCATTCAAAGAAATCAGACATAAAATGACTATAGAAAACGGGATAATATGTAATGGAGACTTGGTAGTTCCCCCAGAAACACAGAGGAGACAGGTTATAAAAAGTGTACACGATGACGTACATTGTGCAGTGGCAGCTACGCAAAGAAGATTAAAATTGGAAGCGTGATGGCCGGGGTACTCAAGAAACGTAGAAGACTACGTAAAAAGATGCAAAAAATGCACAGAACTCAGGAATTTTAAGCAAAAGAAAATACATGTATGGCCCCAAGAAGTAGAACCATGGAGCAGAGTACACATGGACCATGCCTATGTCAATGGGATAGGACTATTATTAATATTAGTAGACGCATATTCAGGTTGGTCTGAAGTGGTGAGAGTACCTGATAAAAAAGTACCACCGTAAAACAAATATTAAGAGTAATATTTTCGAGGAATGGGACACCGAGAACATTGGTGACTGATAACGCACCAGAATTTGTGGATGCTGATTTGCATGAATGGCTAAGAAAAAATAGGATGCAGACCTTACAAGACCCCTCCTACCCCCTCAAAGTAATGGGACAGCGGAAAGGATGGTCCAGATGGTAAAGAAGGGCATAAAAGCATGCTTGCAACAGAAGGAGGAAATCGATGCTTTTCTACCAAGACTATTATTAAGTTACAGAACAATTCCACATGCAGGCAGGCCGGAAAGTCCATCTGCCTTAATGGGCAGACAATTAAGGTCCCCTTTGACTATGTCATATGCCACAAATCAAAAGATGTGGTACAGAAGAAATAGGAATATGCAACCCGAGTCAGCTGAATTTATTATGCAGAAAGGACATAATACTGCAATATTAAATAAAGAAAATGGGAACAGTGTTCTAGCTCATGCTGACCAAATAAGATCCCAAGGAGAAGAATCGGATGAGGAAATGCCTTCAGAGATGCCCATTATTGATGTAACAGAAGAGTTAATGCAGAATGAAACTGCGGAGGAAGAAGTAGAGAGGGATGAGTTAGAAGAGGAAGAAGTAGAATGGGACAAGTCAGAAGAGAAAGACCAGAGTATGCAAGAGGAACAATTCGATTATAGGGAAAGACGTGATAGATCTAGATCTCCAAGGGAAAGGAGAGAGATAAAGGAAGATGTTCAGGAGGGCACAAGAAGAAGTACAAGAAGTACTCGCGGCATAAGGCCCCTCCGTTATAGGGAGATGTAGTGAGATGCAAATTAGTATAATTTGCATATGAGCAGGTAGCTCATATGATAAATGGACACCAACGAGAACAGAGGTCGAACGCTTACTTAGCAAGATACACGACACAACATTAATAGTAGTAATTTGTTAGTAGAAATAACAGTAAAGAACAAGAGAGAACGACAAGACATGTTAAGCTTACAAGGGAGGAAACGCTCTGCCCTGCAAACAAAGCGACCTCTTTTATTCCAGGAAGTAATTGGCTATCCAGGGAAGGTAACTCATGTCATGACAACTGTGTCACACTTTTTCAATTAAAGGGACACAACTCGCTAACTTTCAATAGCTCACGTTACAGAAATTTTGGATTCCCAAGTTTTCATTACTGTGATTGTTTTCGGCGATTATTTATGTGATTTTTTGCGACGAACATGGAAAACAGAACAGAGCATACAAACATTCATCACATCAGTATAAAAAGCCCCCGAAATATATGGAAACGGCAGTAAATGCCTGGTTTTCCATAGTTGAAGCTCAGTTCTCCTTACAAAATGTGAAGGCCTCAGTAACAAAATTTTTCACAGTGATAGCATCCAATATAGTAACGACCATACCGCTATCTATATTGGAGTCACAAAATTACGCAGAATTGGAATGTACCATCATAGAAGCACACGAGATGATGAAACTGGAGTTCCTAGACAAAATGATGTCGACAACAATAATTACAGGACGGCCATCTGCATACTTGCAAGAACTGCTATCCATAGCCTAACAAATTGGGGTTGGAGATGAAATGTTCCTACATAAATTTCTGCAGGCGCTACCATCAACAATAGCGCCTGTTATCGCTTCACAGAATGATCTCACTCCACCGACTAGTCAAGTTGGCGGATTAATTAATACCTTTATTACATAATGCAGCAGCTTTCGTCGCACAAGGAGATAAGTCCTGTTATAGAGAAGCGTATGGTTGCAAGGAAGAAATACGACAACAGCAGAAATAGATTTACGTGGTTTATTTCAACAGGAACGTGTGGGTTTGGGACAGCTACCTTGTGGTAAAGTTCATAAGCCGGCTTCGGATCTAGGTCGATCTCTCATAGTAGTTCACACATGTTGACGGTGGTTGATGCTCCTCTGCTGTCAGCTGCTGACCGTGACAGGTCTCTACCCTGGGCACCTGTGGACTGCCTGTTGAACTTCCGTGTGACCCCTTTTATAGCGTTTTTTATGGCTTAACAGGCTCGAAAAACGAAGCGAGTATAATTAGGAGTGAAGCCTTTTTATTGGACGAAAAATAGAACACTTTAAATATTATTTTATTTTTCGACCGGAACACGTGTGTAGGGAACATTTGTAAATGGAGATAATGGTCATTTTGTGACGGGGTTTTGTCCCGTTCACATCCGGCTCTCGCTTTTGAGTATTTGCCTGTAAATCAGCCGAGATATGTCTTATTTTATTTTATAACAGTCACAACGGCCGAAGGTTCACTCAATCAATGAAAAAATGAATGTAGTTGCGATGCTTCTGTACCAACAGGTCTTGAACGATATAGAAGCGACCAACGACCCAGAGTGTGCAGAGCTCATATTTATTCCGTCGAGAAAGGGAGGACATGTAAACCCTGGTGCAAATGGCCTAAGAAACACGGTTTACAATTATTACCCAGTTCCTGACCAGCTACTCCAGCTAGAAGTGATTCGGAAAACTAGTAGGGCGAATGAGTTCAGCCCCGCAATGTTCGTCGCTACTACAAATTACCGCATGATTAGAAGCTACTAAAACAAAATTTATTGTAGATACAGGTGCAAGCATCTCTATAATCCCGGTATCAGTAATAAATGGGATTACATTAGAATTGACACCCGAATCACTCCCTATTGCTAATGGTGAGAAAATAAAGTGTTGCGGACAAGCAAATTTGGAGGTTAGATATATCTTTATAGGATTTGGATGAACACTTATCTGTTGCAAACTTCGAGTTCTTATACTTAGATAATTGCAAAGATACAGATCGGGTCATTCAGTTATTAACATGCGTTTTAGGTGAATCAGAAACACTTTGTATGAGATTGGGATTTTGAAATCTTTGTATCTGCGAGAGCAGTAGAGGGCATATTTACAAAAGAAGATTTCTGCTCCAGTTGAGAGAATTCGTTGAAGTACTTACATCAGAAGAAAAACTTCTTTGAGTTTAAGTGGTTGACTTGTAAAATTATCGGACATGATGGACCTAATGTTATCAACTTAATTAGTTTTTTCCGATTCATTAGGGCTGGGAGAGGCGGGATGATAATTTTATGATATTCGTATATTTTGTTTCAATTTACACCTTGGCTTGCATCTCTTAGCCTGTTCTGCGTTGTATATATGTGCTTTACACACTTTTGGCTTGAGGGTAAAGGTCGTAGTCACAGGCATTCTACTGTGATTTTCTACAGAAGGTACTATTTTGGCACTTTTCTCTGCTTGAGAGTTGTAATGCAGATGCGATGTCAATTACCAAAAACATCAGTTCCTCAGATAATTTTCTTAATTCTGCTAAAGGCATTTCCGTACGAGCAGCTATAATTGGCATTAATTGTTGAGGCAGGACCCGAATAAATTTGTGCCTAACAATTTCTTCTCTCACGCCTATACACGTAGCTACAGACATCATGTTTTGGAAATAAACTGCCGGACGACCAGTTATTGTGGTGGTTTTCATCAGCTTCTCTAAAGACTCTGGTTTAATCTTTCCATAAGATGATAGGACAGATTGTTTTAACTGCTCGTAATCTTTTGACTGCAAGATAGATACAGGTAAAATTAAAATTACGTCGGGTTGCAGAGCGCTTATGATAATATAATATTTTGTTTCCTCAACCTTTCTAAGGTGATAGTGAACCAACCCGCTGTGCTCGTTTCCATAAATTCGGGAGGCTTAATGATAACCTGCTACATTTGCGTTTCTAATGATATGCTTTTGTCTTTTTTTTATGGTACAGTAAGTTGAGAAAAAAGATAGATAGATAGATAGATAAGAGAAGGCAACGACTCACAGCTTGTTATTTGCTTGTTTGACAAGGGTTTCTTGGTGATAACTTATTTTGTTGACTTACTTCTCAGTCTGATGGAGCCTTTTTATGCCAAAATTTTGAGCTTCTTCTTGTTTCTTTTTTATCTATATATTTTTGGTATGTCCAAAGTTCCGATGATTTTCATTTGTGCGTTCACATGAGAAGGTTGCGTGTTCGGATCACGTCAGGAACACCAGTTTGGTATTGGGGTAAGGAAGGATTTTCTTTTATCAGAACTTCGAGAATAAAATGAACTGACTCAAGGGTATAAAATAAATAATATACTTTTATTTTCTTTAGTGATGAGTGAGTCCTTTTGTATTCGGCGTAGCAAAATGTTCGTTTATAAGGCGAATATTGGCAATGGTCTGGAGAAATGTTCGGTAGTGGTGTTTTGAAGTTAGAGTATGATGGGGGTAGCAGTAATTTTAGAAATAGGTCAGCGTCAATCTACTGTGTTGTTTCTCGCACCTAAGCAGTGCAAAAATATCAGCAGTGATCGGGCTTCGAAATTCTGGCAGGAACTTTAGTTTCGACGAACATCAAGTCACTTTGTGTCAATTTTTTTGATTGGCCCAAATTATTTTATTTCCAGGCGTTCCTTTCTTTTTCATTTATGTGTGGAACCTCCCTGATATTTTCAGTTATAAATAAGTAGGTTCTGATCATACGTTTTTTTTCAATCGGGGTCAGTGTTTTCTTCTTCCACTTTTTAATTTGAGGGCTGCCTTTTCGAAATTAATTAATAAATAAAAGGAAAGCGCAAATGCCTTATTTTAATCTGAATTCTTTTTACTTTCTTTATATATTTTATTTTTATATGTTATTTTTATCGGGACTCACTACATTTCCATAATCTGCACTTACTTCCTCCTCTTATGTCTATACAACAATCTCACTCATCAATACTCTACTTTGAGTAGCTCTTGGGTCTTGTATTGAGTAAGCATTTAGCGAAAGAAAAGAAAAGTGCTTAATCTTTTACTATTATTATTATTATTATTATTGCTGAAAATAACGGGTTTTCCAATAACTTGGACCGATTTTAAATGTGAATTAAGTTTAAGCGTCTAATGATTTTTTCTTTTTCTTTCAGATTTAACAACTTAAGTCTTTGGCAAGTTCAACCATGGAAAGATTAACAATCAAACACCGTATTAAAGTTTCAAGACTGTAGTTGGAAAAAAAATTGTTCGTAAATTCAAACAAACTGGATCGGTGGCAGATGTGAAAACACTATCTTCTACATTTTCCATCAACTTCAATTTGTAAGTATGCGTTTGACAGGCCATTCTTTTAAGAAAATTTTCACCCCCTTAATTTAGAAAAAAAATTCTGTAGATGAGAACGGTAGCAGACACTCATTTTACCCTGTCGAAAAAAATCTGCACATACACGAATATTATTATTTTCATTTTTGCATACACTATTGGAGCTGACCACTCCAAATAATCTGTGGGCGTAATAACTCCTAGGGTTTCTAATCTGTCAAGTTCTTTGTAAATGGGTTCCACAACTACAAATGGCATACTAGGTTTAGATTTAAAAACAGGAACTACATTTTCATTTAAGCGAAAAATTGCCTTCGTCTTCGTACTCTTTCCAAGACCTTCGGGGTTTACTGTAGGAAAATTCTTTTTAACTCCTTTTAAAAACTTTCAATTGCCATATTTGTTTTTACAGAACAAATTTACATTACAAATCGAAGAGTTCCTTCCAGTTCTCTAAAATACTTGATGTATGTGTTCTGCATTTTGCAGTCTTGTTTCACTTTTTATGAGTACGTCGTCCAAATATGCAACGGTATAATCTAAGCCAGAAATATAGTGTATTCATTACTTGCTGGAAATTATTTGATGCCACTTTGAAACCTTTTTTTAAAGCTTGAGTGTTAATTGTTAACAATTTTCTACATTTTCCATTAACTTCAATTTGTAAGTATGCGTGTAACAGGCCATTCTTTTAAGAAAATTTATCACACCTTTAATTTAGAAAAAAAATTATGTAGGTGGGAACGGATATGTGTCAAGTAATTAAACCCCGTAGAAAAATCTGCACATACAACAATATTATTATTTTCTTTTTTGCACACCCTACTGGAGCTGCCCACTCAGAATAATCTGAAAAATTGCCTTCGCCTTAGTACATTTTTCAAGTCCTTCGAAGAACACTAGTTTTTGTGATGTCAACGAACACTCGATGACACTTTTGTGATATCAACGAATACTCGTTGTCACTTTCGTAATGCTCGTTATAATAGAGACTTTGTAATCGTCGATACAACTATAGTACACCGTTGAACAATACTGGTGTCAGACGCCTTCGAATAACACTCGCGCTAATAGTACTTGCTCGATAATACTCGCTGGAAAAGTAACCATCGAATAGTAATCCGTATAGTGATCAGTATAGTGAAAAGTATAGAGAATAGCGATCCGTATAGTAATAGATGATAGAATAGAAATGGTGATCCTTTAGACGCCACGCTAATTCCCATATATACATTTCTTTTACTATACTATCACGTGATCTACTTATTAGAAATGGAATCACCTGTGTTTGCTCTCTGGTGATCTGTGTTCAAACTCCAGTGTCGGTAGCGATACTTTATTCCTATATAACACAAGTAGATTTCTTTTTTAACTCCTTTAAAAAACTTTCAGTCGCTATACTTATTTTGGGGGAGGAGCAATTACGGCCAGACTCCACAAATCGAACAGTTCCATCCAATCCACGCCTAATAATAAGTTCAACGTATTATATTTTTTTTAATACGAATACCTTATTTTAAAATTTTACTGGCACATGTTGAGGGGTTCAGATGTCTATGTTAGACGATCCACACAAACATAAAAAATGAATTTTTACACAGTCCAAGGCAAGGATAACTAGAACGAGGAGTTTAGATAAAAAAATATACCAAAATTTATTATTGGCAAAAATACAATGAAAGGAACAAAAGATGCAGATGTGGTCGTGCTGGGAGTTAACTTTTGGTCTTAGATGCACCAACCGTTGATGACGACCGGAACAGCTTGGGTAGTGCCAAAGGTTGCTGGACAGTCGGCGTGTTGAGTTGGTATTAGTTGGCGGTTTTATCCCAGGAGAGTAGTTGCTAGCCCGAAAATAAAACCAAAGCGTCTTGGGTAGTGTCGAAGTTCGATAGGCAGTCAGTGTGTTGAGTTGATATTAGCTCGCAGGCTTATCCCAGAGTAGGCGACTGAAACCACTGTGATCCACGAGATGATGGGAAGTAGGGGAGTGAAGCCTGAATCGCCGATGTTGTGTTCCCAAAGAGGACAATTGAATATTTCATATAATGTAGCGAGAATAGACTGAGTTTGCCTTAAAATGACAATTACCTACCACATATCATGTAACCGAGAAAAAACCTGAGATTTGCCCTGAAAACAACGGTTTACAATTGCATATCATGTCGTTGAAAATTACTGAGATTGTCCTAAAAATGACAGCTGCCGCATAACATGTAGTCGAGAAAGAACTGAGTTTTGTTCTCAAAAGGACAGTTTGCTGCTGCATATCATATAGCTGTGAAATAACTGAAATTTTGTTCTGAAAAGGACAGCATATCGTGCAGCGAAGAATCACTTAAGTTTGCCCTGAAAAGAACAGGTATCATGCAATCTGGAAAAGATTTGTCCTGAAAATGACAGAGTCAGCATAGCGTGCACCGAGAAAAGACTTAGATGTCAGGCGAAGTCGTAGTAGGCAGAAGTCAGTTGATCTGTTAGCCAGGACAGCAAAAGTTTGTGTTGACAAAGTCGGCTACTGCTGCTGGTTACTTCTTGCTGAGTTAGCCGGATTAGGGGTGGTAGTTAGTAGTTAGTTAGCTTGTGTGTCGGCTAGTGCTGCTACTGCTGCTACTGCTGATTGCTTGCTGCTACTGTTGGTGGTTGCTGCTGCTGATGGTTGCTGGCTGCTGGAACCGATACTACACAATCATCTTCTTCCCAAGGCCGAGTAATTATTTACTCGGTCACCCCACTCTAGACGGGATGAGACACAAAGTCGAGTTTAATGTGGAGTACTCGTGCGCGTACACTCAGGCCAAAGACAAAAATTCTCCGAGCCCCCTCGACCGTCGGTTGCACTGGCTTCGGTGGTGAGCACCGACCACTCTTTCTAGTGCCATGAGAAAGTGCAGCCTCGGGCAGTTGTGTCCCCAGGGCTGGTCACCTCACAGTTTGATTTTCCTCAGTTGCGCCCATGTCTTCCGACGGAGCAAATGAGTCGTACTCTGCCCGAAGACAGAGACGCAACTAAGAGATGATGAAACCTACAACCTCTAGGATAAGGCCAAGTGTCGTCTTCGGCATTTACCAAAGACTCCCTACTGAGTCAGAATGCGGCACAAGATCAGTTATTTAATATGGGGAACCCGAGCGCGTACATTGGTCAAAATTTACCCAGTCCCCGCTCGGGCACAAAGCTTGTCTTAGCTGGTCAAGGCCGCGAAACAGATACTACAATTGGATCATAATCTCTGGACCGCGACGGAGTAGCGTCTTCGGTATTTACCAAAGATTTCCCATTGTTTCAGGATGCGACATAAGCGTCTTCGGTATTTACCAAAGACTCCCCACTGAGTCAGGTTGCGACACAAGGTTAGTTATTTAACGTGGGGAACACTAGCGTTTTCACTAGGATCAATGGTCAAAATTTACCCAGCCCCCGTTTACGCGGGATAAAGCAGAAAGCTTGTCTTAACTGATCATAGCGGGTCAAGGCCGCAAAACAGTCTGGGACTTCAATTCAGCGTGCTGATTTTATGGCGTAAGAGCGTTACAACTTCGCAGGTCTTGAAGCTAATTTTGGTTATGTATGAATGTCATAAAAATAACTCTACATTAAGAAATATAATGTAACTGGACATAACAAAATTAATAACAGGAATAGTATTTGTTTTGGATAACCATTGTTATGGACAAGCGTATGTTTGCAAGAAAGAAATACGACAACAGCAGAAATAGATTTACGTGATTTATTTCAATAGGAACGTGCGGTTTTGGGACAGCTACCATGTGGTATAGTTCATAAGACGGCTTCCGATCTGGGTTGATCTCTCATAGTAGTTCTCACTGGGTGGCGTGGCGCTTCTCCTGCTGCTGACTGACGGTGACATGTCTCTTCCTTGGCCTCCTCTTGACTGCTGTTGTACTTCACCGTGTGACCCCCTTTTATGGCGTTTTTATGGCTTAACAGGCTCGTAAAACGACGCGAGTATAATTAGGAGGGAAGCATTTTTATTGGTTGAAAAATAGAAACACTTTAAAATATTATTTTATTTTTCGGCCGGAACTCGTGCGTCGGGGCTATGCGTAAACGACGATAATGGTCATTTTGTGACGGGGCCTTGTCCCGTTCACATCCGACTCTCGCTCTTGTGTATGTTAGTTTATTTGCCTGCAAATCAGCCGAGATATGTCTTATTTTATTTTATAACAAGGCTCCATCAGGTCTCGGTCTGATTTACAGTGAGCGTTATTCGTGTATATTTCGGTGATTAATTCATGATAAAGTCTCTGAAGGGTGTGGGAAGTTGTCCTCGTGTTCTTCTTATTGGCATTTGGTTTGGTATGGAGTTATTTGCTGAATTATGTGTCCCAGGGGCATGTGGAGGAGAATGATCCTGGTGACTGTTACATGGTGGAGGCAGAGGAATTGTATTAGATAGATGTGTTGGACGTGGAGCCAGTCGTCGGATATGTGCACAGTGAATCCAGATTGTATCACCATTATCGTTTTGCACCTGACACATCATATTGTTCATTTTTATAATGGTGTAATTTTCTATCCAGGGCAGATGAGAAGATTGGGCAACAGTTGAGTGTGACCGGTGAAGTAAAACCATGTCGCCTACTTGTATTGGGTCTTTGTATGTGAGGCGATTTAAGTTTCAAGTTTGTGGTCAGCTTCATTGTTGGCCAGAGTGACGTGGTGGTGAACCTGCTTTAGCAGGGCATTAATTTGCATTCCATATGCTCCAGGATCGTCACTTGCGATTTCTTTTCTGTGTAGTGTAGGTAGGCCGATGTTAGGGTGACGGCCAGTAATGGCATAGTGCGGGGAGACACCGGTGGCGCTGTTGGTCGTGGCATTCATGGACGAAACGACAGATTCTAGAACGTCTGTCCATTCACAGTTCCCGTCTTCGTATAACATATAAAGTGTGTTCTTCATCGTGCGATGTTGTCTCTCGATATTTCCTGAGCTTTGCGGGTGCCAAGGACAGTGAAGTTCTTGCATGATTGAAATCTGGTTACAGAATTGTCGATAGACTTCTCCAGTGATGTGTGTGCCTCGATCAGAGGATACTATGCGTGCAATCTCTCTGTGTCGAAGGAAGAACTGGTACAATCCGCGGGCGGCGTCGATAGCACAGTCTCTCGCGCATGGTATGGCTGTAAAGTGTTGGCTGAAGCTATCCAAGATGGTTAGGATGTAGCGTTTTCCCTTTGAGTTGGGCATTGTGACAAAGTCTATAAAGACGAGATCAAATGGTCTCTTTCCTCGTTTGCAGTGGCCAATGGGCCAGTGGGTACGTCTACCGTAGTTGCCCTTGCATTTGTGTCGCAGGAATCGAGATAGGCCTTGATATCGCGGTTTTTGAATTCCCACCAGTAGCTGGAAAGGAGTTATCGCATACGGGTAACACCTGAGTGATTGTTGCCCTCGTGTGCCTGGTAGAGGTATCTGGATCGTAGTTTGTATGGTACAACCAATCTCGGAGAGGGTTTACTGTCTCTTATCATCAAAACGGAGGTGCCTGGTTCTAGAAAAAATTGGTGCAAATGTTTTTTTGAAAAGCGTAGCTCGGTGGTCGTCAGGATCGATATGCGGTTCGCTTGGAGTGGGTGACTGGAGGGCGCTGATGATCTTTGCCAGGGCGTCGTCCTTCTGTTGTTCATTTGCGATGCCGAGGTAGTTGCAGATTCTCTCAGTGGGGATGGTGGTGGTAGAGTGATAGGCGAAGAATGCGTTGGTGACGCGCTTGTGGGTGCGGGCGTTTTGTGGTGTGTGAGTTTTGGGAATGAGCTGTAAACCGTTAAACTCGCCGAGGCACTAAGATGGGATGTATACGCGGAGGTCTGAACCACTTAACTCGAATGCCCTGCCTGCCGGTGTAGGGTCGTTCGGAACTTTCGTTTTCTTATGTCCGCAAATTCTGCTGGGCATGTCAGACCATATATTTGATTCGCCTTCGACATATTCTAAGACGAATTTATAACATGAAATTTCTTCTTGCCATCGTCGTATTTTGGCATTATTGAACTCTCGTTGGTCCAGATATGTCAGCGATCTGTGGTCGGTGAAGATGACGAAGAGGCGGTTGCGAAGGAAATAATCAAATTTCAATATTGCCAACTTTACTGCATATGCCTCTCGTTCCGTCGTGGATCAGTTCTGTTCATGGAGTTGAATGTATGGGAACCGACCGCCATGATATCTTTCTTCCCGTTGTCGGCTTCTTGCATTAAGATTGCTCCACATGCGACGTCACTGGCGTCGGTGGTGAGTGTGAAAAGTTTGGAGAAATCCGGAAACGAGATGACGGGTGGCGAAAAGAGACAGTCCTTGATTTTTTTGAAGGCTCTGTCGGCATTTTGCGTCCAGATAAACGGTTTATAAACCTTGTTGAGTTCGTGTATGGGACCCATAAGTTTTGAAAACATATCTGACCTGATTTGTTCGTAAAAAACGTGTCTCTGGAAATTGTCTGATCCACACTAAACGGCCGATAAGGCTTTGTAATTCCTTTTTCGATGTTGGAGGTTTCATTTCCCTGATGGCACGAACGTATTCTGGATCAGCCTTGAATCCTTAGCTGTTTGCTATGCGTCCGAGGAATTGTGCCTCTGATGCGAGGAAGGAACATTTATCTGGATTCAGCTTAAGTCCGAATTTTCGGAGGGCAGTAAAAAATTGTTCGAGGGAGAGTATGTACTCCCTAAATGTCCTAGCGTGGACCAGGTTGTCGTCGATATAGGAAGAAATGTTGTCACGGGATGTGATCGTGGCTAGGGCTTCTGCTATGCAACGGGAGAAGATTTGTCCGGCAGATGTAAGGCCGAAGGCCAGGCGCGTGTATTGATAGCATTGGTCCTTCCATGTAAATGCTGTTTTGTATCGATCTCGCTTGTCGATCTCAATTTTCCAGTAGCCGCTGCGTAGATCGAGGGTAGTGAAATATCTATTGCCTTTACCGATTTTGTTGAACAAGTGGTCGATCCTTGGCATTGGGTAAGGGTCAAGGTCGACTAAGACCTTGTTGAGAGTTCTTTTAAAGTTAGCGACGACGCGAATCGATCCGTTTTTCTTGCGTACGGCAAATACAGGGCTATTGAAGCCTTCGGGGTCGCTGCAGTTTTCAATGATACCTTCATCGGCCATGCGCTTAATTTCGGTATCAACGTCTGCTTCCAAAGCCTGGGCGATCGGGTGTTGTTTCTGGCTGCGAGACTGGCCGTTGGTTGGTATACGGATGGGTCGGATGAATGTGCCTTTGCTTCTGCTTTCGGTGCCGATAATGTAAGCGTAGCGAATGAGTAAGTTTGCAGTGGCCTCTAGTTCGTCTCGGTTCAGGTGGTTTGGTAGCGATAGCCCCGTGCTATGCTTTAGCCAGGTTAGCTTTTGATCCAGTGTCTGGATGTTGGGCTGTAGTTCCATAGTAGGCTGGTTTTGGATGACGTCAGCTTGGGCACCATATGCCGGATCGTTGGTTGACGATGACGGTGATATGATTGCGGCTGTGTGTGTTGAGTATCCTGAGGAAAGTGTGCGTCTGAATTCTATAGTCGCATTTTGGTTGTCGAGGAATCGAGCGTGTTGTGACATAGGATATTTTGGCCGATCAGGATCGGTGTGGTTTGGATAGTTACCAGCACGTTAACCTTTTTGAATGTGGGTGTCTCGACTGCCGATGGTGATTTCGCAAGTCAGTTCGCCAAGGGCGGTGGTGCTGCCGTTGATTCCCTCTACTACGACGTCGGAGCGGGTCATGTGTTTCTTAGCTTCTCTGGGTAACTGAGATATTGGTAAGATGCAGGTGGAGCATCCAGAGTCTAGCATTGCAACGCCAGAGAAGGTGATTTCCCTGAAGTTGAAGGTGGACTGGACGAGCGATGAATGGTGAGCGAGTTCTTGAAAGTTGAAGGTGTGATGGCTGACGTAGGGGCACGGGGAACGAGGCATCACATCTCGTCCTGCCCGAAGTGAAAATCCTGTTCCACATCATTTATGGCTTGTATATTATCATTCGTTGCGGCGATATGGGCCTGTGCCCGAGTGCAAGGTGGGTGGCAGTTGCGTCCATGGAGGTAGGGGTGTGTGCTGACGGTTTCTGCGTGTCGGATGGTGGCCATGTTCGGGAGGGTTGGTGAGGCCCGTCTGCTGTGGGTTTGGTTGCCTGCTGGGTCGGAGTGGCGCGTCTTTGGTTTGACCGCTGTGGTTTCTGTGTGAAATACACAGTGTCGTGATCAAGGTATCTTTGAGCTTCGGAGGCTATGCCAATGGCTGAATAGTGGTTGTCCATTGTCTTGACAAGATGTGGGTAAAGATTTGAGTTCCAAATGTTCACCTTTTCGCTCATTAGCATAGCGCCGATGATGTAAATAAGTCCATCGACTGTTAGGTCTGTTTTTTTGTCTTTTATGTGTTTGTTTTTGTGGACATGAAAATGAAACTAACCTCAGTTCTCGGCATAAGAGGGTTCGTTTGTGTCTGGCGTGTAGGGCAGTAATTGGTCCGAAGAAAGAAACACCACCATTACGGTGAGTCGGACTTATGGAAACGCGATCTCGTAGCCGCGAGGATTGGCGAGAGGAGAACTTGGGCGTATGCAAATTGGTTGGTGTTCGCTGGGATAAATGTGACGGCGGGAGACCACTCGAGACAGTTGTGTGTAGCGAACTACGAGGCGGTGTTGGAACATTTGAGTGGAAAGATCTGTGGAGTTTTTGTAGCTGGATTGTAGCTGTCGTGAAGCTGAGGAGTGTTTCCGGAAGTAGGCGGTGCCGGGCCAACCCGTTCCCTTCCTATTGTTTGGACCTAATTTTAATACAAGCTATTTCAGCATAATGGGGGACAGATTCGACCTGAAATTGATTCCGGAGTTCGATGGCTCAACCCCGGTACTTAACTGGGTGGAAAAAGTGGAACTGCATTGCCTCTTGTCTGGCATAAAGAGCATTGAACACGTGATTCCTCTGCGGCTGTCTGGCGGGGCTTTCGCTGTGTATCAACAGCTCAGTGTTGAGGAAAAACAGGATTATAAGAGAATCAAGGCAGCACTATACAATGCGTTTGCTATCGACCCCGCCACTGCATGGGAACAATTCGAGGCAAGAACTTTACTTCCAGGCGAAACTGTCGACGTGTATCTGGCCGAGCTGACGAAGTTGACGGTGTTGTTCGGTGGGCTGCCCGAGCGGGCCTTGGCATACAAATTTCTGGCAGGGCTCCCAACCGGAGCAAAGCAACTCCTGCGAGTGAGCTCAAGCATAGACTCGTTGTCCCTTAATGACCTGGTAGACCGGGCCAGGACCGTGATGAAAGATAATTCTGAGGTGAGAGAACCGGTAGTCGCCGCTGCACAGTCCACGCCAAGTGATGATAGACCGTATCAGGGCCCAGCCCCGTGGTGGGGGGTCGTATGTTATAGGTGCGGTGGCCAGGGCCACATTGCGAGGAACTGCAGGAGGCGACTGACAGCTGTTCGCTGCTACCGGTGTAATGAGACTGGACATATGATCCGGGATTGTGCGGGAAACGGGGCCGGGGACAAGGTGCCAGCGTCGACCTCTTCCCCAAGCAGAAATTAGATGAGGTGCTTCCGATCATTCAGGTCTATATTAATGAGACATTGTGCTCAGCACTCCTCGATTCCGGTTGCTCCCGCACCATAGTGTGCGCGGACCTCTGCCGCACTTGGGAGAAGAGGAGTGTCAGGGTGACCACCATCAGTGGAGAAACACGAAGGTGTTGCGGGGTGGGCGCGGTGAACATCCGTACAAGAACTAGAAACTCGGCCAACATCGAGGCGCTAGTAGTGCTCGAAAAACCACTGAGTTTTGACCTGCTTCTAGGCTATGATGCCATCAGAGCTTTAGGTGGTGTTCACATAACGCAGACGGGGGCAGTACAGTTTCAGGAGAGGGCCCCAGTGTGCGCAGCTCTGAGGATCGACCAGCCGGACTTTAGTGTCGAATTTGACCAGCAGCAGAAGACTTGGACTTGGTGGTCGGAAAACCAAGTACCAGCCAAACTGCGGAACGAGGTAGCCGAGTACCATGTGCCCGATCAAATAAGGCCTGCATACGAAGGGGAGCTCCGTGAATGGATCAAGGATGGCTGGTTGATTCCTTACCCCTATGAGAAACTTGGACCTCCCAAAGGCCTGATCCCGCTGATGGCGGTTGCTCAGCACAACAAAGCAAAGGTGAGGCCAGTGATGGACTACCGCGAACTAAACGCGCATGTTGATGCGTTCACGGCAGATGCTGACGTTTGTGCCAGCAAGCTACGAGAATGGCGCCAACAGGGTTCCAATGTGTCCCTGCTGGATCTAAGAAAAGCGTACCTGCAGGTCCGGGTCAGCGAGACGATGTGGCCGTTTCAGTGGAGTTTGCCGGCAGGAGGTACTGCCTTACTAGGCTGGGCTTCGGGCTGAACGTGGCACCCCAAATAATGAAGACCATCATCAACGCTGTGTTGTCACAGGAAGAAACAATAAAAGAGGGAACATCGGCGTACCTTGATGATATATATGTGAACGAAGACGTTGTGTCGTCATCACGCGTGAGGTCCAAACTGGCTGAGTTTGGTCTGACTTGTAAGGACCCAGAACGTTTGGAGGATGGCGCCCGTGTCTTGGGCCTGAACGTTCAACAGGAGCGAGAGACCTTAAAATGGGGGCGCGGAACTGCAGTTCCTGAAGTACCCGATGTCTTCACGAGGCGAGCTATATTCTCCCTGTGTGGAAGACTTGTAGGGCATCTACCAGTGTGTGGATGGACTCGTGTGGCAACAGGCACCATAAAAAGAAGGGCAAGCGCAGTCCCCAAAGGCTGGGACGATGAAACAACGGACGATCTGTTGGTTCGCATGGTGAAGGAGACCATCGCAAGGGTAAAGCAGGATGACCCCGCCAAAGGAGACTGGTGCGTGCAGGGAGACGAACTGAACGTGTGGGTGGATGCGAGCTCTCTGGCGATTGGTGTGCTGTTGGAGAATAATGGGGCTGCGATTGAGGACGCCTGCTGGTTGCGACCGGTGAATGACGCTGCTCATATCAACCTGGCAGAGCTCGATGCAGTGATAAAAGGAATCAACCTGGCACTCCAGTGGAAAGTCAGGAAATTACACATACACACTGATTCGCTATGTGTGTACCACTGGATATCGGACACACTGACAGGCAAGGCCAGGGTGCGTACCAAGGCGGCTAGCGATATGCTGATCAGACGGAGGTTGGAGACCATAAGAAAGCTGGTAACAGAGTACAACCTATCTATGGATGCGGTGCTTGTCACCTCAAACTGCAACCTTGCTGATAGGCACACTCGTGTGCCACAGAGATGGTATGGCGCCATGAAGAAAGAAGCTGAGCCAGTACCGTTACTATGTGCTGCCTCTGTTGAGGCGGCGGACAAAATCAAGGAGATACACCACAACAGTGGGCACCCCGGAGTGAGACGGACATGCTATTTTGTACAGTTGACCAATCCGTCAGTGTCCAAAAGTGAAGTGAGAGCGGTAGTGAAGGAATGCCAAACATGCCAGTCAATCGACCCCGCCCCAGCTAGATGGCGGAAGGGTCGGCTGGGGGTAGACACGACTTGGGGCCGACTGGGTATGGACATAACCCATTACGGCAGTCAGCATTTCCTCACACTGATAGATTGCGGACCGACGAGGTTCGCGATCTGGCGCCCATTAGTAAGACAGGACTCATCCAGTGTCATCCGTGAATTGGAGTCCATATTTTACGAAAGAGGGCCGCCTGAAGAGATCCTTACGGATAACGACACGGCCTTCTGCAGCGGGGAGTTTAGACGTTTCGTAGACGAGTGGGGGTCCGGCTCAGACACCGATGTGCATATGTGCCGAGTGGCAACGGCATAGCAGAGCGGTGCCACCGAAGCGTGAAGAGGATCGCGGCCAGGAAGCAGTGCACGATAGCGGAGGCGGTCTATAGATATAATGCAACACCAAAGGATGCCGTGACTGCTGCAAGCGCACCCGCCAATGCAATCCATCGCTACCAAGTGCGCAACAAGGGCATTGACGCGTGTCTGCCTGATCGGCGGGAAACACGAGGGCCGTATAAGTTAGGGGACACCGTCTGGGTGAAGCCTCCCAATAGCCGGTGCACCACCAGCTTTCAAAGAAAACGAATCACCGGCATCGTCAATGAGCAAGCAGTGCTGGTCGATGGTACTCCACGCCATGTGAAGGATGTCCGGCCCGCCCTAAATACGAACCAGTTGACTAGTAGCAGCAGTGGTGAATCATCCAACGATGAACTGTGGATCCGACCTATGCCCCTCGGGCCTGATGGTTTGACTGCGGACACCGACGCTGATGCTGATAGTTCTGACGCCCCTTCTGAGAGCCCCGATGAAGAAGTCCAGACAATCCCCCTTCGTAGGAGTGCCCGCAACAAACGACCACGTCCGCAATGCCACATGTGTGATCTTGAGACCAGGGGGGAGTGTGGACATGAAAATGAGACTAACCTCAGTTCTCGGCATAAGAGGGTTCGTTTGTGTCTGGCGTGTAGGGCAGTAATTGGTCCGAAGAAAGAAACACCACCATTACGGTGAGTCGGACTTATGGAAACGCGATCTCGTAGCCGCGAGGATTGGCGAGAGGAGAACTTGGGCGTATGCAAATTGGTTGGTGTTCGCTGGGATAAATGTGACGGCGGGAGACCACTCGAGACAGTTGTGTGTAGCGAACTACGAGGCGGTGTTGGAACATTTGAGTGGAAAGATCTGTGGAGTTTTTGTAGCTGGATTGTAGCTGTCGTGAAGCTGAGGAGTGTTTCCGGGAGTAGGCGGTGCCGGGCCAACCCGTTCCCTTCCTATTGTTTGGACCTAATTTTAATACAGTTTTTTATGTGGACGGCTGCCTCTCTAAGGGTGTTTTCGAGTCGACCCGCGAAGTCTGTTAGTTTTTCGCCGTTCCAGATCCCAAGCTTGACTGAAGTGTTGGAAGTTAGTCATCTGGCTTCTGTGGGTTGCTAATAAGTTTTCCTTCAGTTGTTCGAAGGTTGATATCTTTTTTTTTGAGTCAACCATCTGCAGAAACATACTTTGGTCCATTAAATCTTTAACAGATTGATGAATTCGCATTCCAGGCTGGGATAGGAGTTCTGGCGTGACGTGGATTGTGTATGCTTTGTTTAGAGCCGTGATGAATCGGTTCACATCGTGTCCAGGGTGAAAAGTTCTCTCTAGCTTCAATATGTCGCGTATAGTTTGTTGGCGCATCATTAAGCTGTAATCGCCGTTTGTTTGAGCGGTGGGAGGTGTTAAAGTAGTTGATTTTAGGGCAGTCAGCATGTCGTTTATGACGGCTTGAATTTCTTGTATCGTGGCTTCAGAAGGCTGTGTTGGTCCCGTTTTCAAGTTGAATAGTAATGTTTTCTGTTCCTTGATGAGAGTAAATAGTTCGGCCCGGGTGAAACTCGCGTAGTCGTCCATATTTCTCTTGCTGTACGCTTCTGACACCAGTGTTATAGATATGGTTGCAAGAAAGAAATAGATTTACGTGATTTGTTTCAATAGGAACGTGTGGGTTTGGGACAGCTACCTTGTGGTATAGTTCATAAGCCGGCAGCTGATCTGGCTTGATCTCTCATAGTAGTTCTCACTGGTTGGCGTGGCGCTCCTCCTGCTGACAGCTGCTGACTGAGCGTGACAGGTCTCTTCCTTGGCCTCCTGTTAACTGCTGCTGACTGACGGTGACATGTCTCTTCCCTGGCCTCCTGTTGACTACTGTTGTACTTCCCCATGTGACCCCATTTATGGCGTTTTTTATGGCTTAAGAGGCTCGTAAAACGACACGAGTATAATTAGGAGGGGGGCATTTTTATTGGTCGAAAAATAGAAACAATTTTAAAATATTATTTTATTTTTCGACCGGAACTCGTGCATCGGGGCTATGCGTAAACGACGATAATGGTCATTTTGTGACGGGGCCTTGTCCCGTTCACATCCGGCTCTCGCTCTTGAGTATGTTAGTTTATTTGCCTGCAAATCAGTCGAGATATGTCTTATTTTATTTTATAACACAATTATAAAATACCTCGAAAAAGATGCACAGAATTAATAAACTCGAACAAACTGTTCAATGTCAAATTGAAAGATTCCGTTCGCTGAAACAAAAGAACAACATTGTAGCATGTCGCTACAATGCACACGTTACATGCAATTTCATTTTTGTCCCTGAGATTCCACATAAAACTTTTTGGTTTTCGATAATGTAAGTTCATCAATAGTTTTCCAAGTTTTTTCATTAATTATAATAATGTCGCTGCCAGTATCCAATTGAAGTTTTTCTTTAACGTTATTCACCTTAATCTTCACAAATGTTCTGGGCCTCATTCAGATTTTCAATTGTCAATGCAAGTTTTGACTGTATTAAAATGTCTTACATATTTTTCTTTGCTTTAACCCAGTTTTCCACATTAGAAACACTTTTTATTTTTGAATCTGCCTTAAAATGAAGTCCTCTGCAACCG